CATAAGCCGCCGGGGTACGGACAGGTCACAGCATGCCCTCCCCCCTCATTCCCGGAAACAAACAAACTAAAACCCTCTTCCTCTTCCCAATGACAAAGACTCCATCCTCAACAACCCCAACCTTTTTCACCTCCCATTTTCCTTCTCCCCGGACCCCTACTTCCCCCTTCCTCCTCCTCCTTTTTCTCCCTCTCTCCCGCCTCCCTTCCCTCCCTCCCCCTGTTTCCCCCCGGAACCCTCTCTCCCCCGGGGAAGTGACTCACATCCGTTGCCCTCCTGAAGCTTCTCCTGCATGAAGCGGTCGCGCGGCAGGTTGCTGTCGCTCAGGTAGTATTCCACCTGCAGGGACGGCGGGGGAGAGACGCGCAAATGCGCGCACACGAACCACGCGCGGATCGGCGCGAACAGGAAACCGATGTTAGGGTTTAAGGTAGCACGTGACGACACAAACCATCGTCGCAAAACAGTCGCAAAGAACTGTCGCAAAGAGACGAATCTGTGGATCGTAACCAAGGAGCAATCGCGAGAACGAATGCAGACGAGGTTTTAAGTGAGTGAGAGAGAGAGTGTGTGTGTGTGTACGGGCATCTAAACCACACGCGTGCGCGCACACGCGCAGGGATGCACGATCGCGCGCACCTGGCGGAGGATCTCTGCGCGGACGGCGGGACTGAAAGCCGCGGTTTTCTTCTCCTCCCCCTCGCCACCTTCGGCTTTGTCCGCCCCGCCTTCGCCCTCCTTGCTCTCCGCACCAGCACCCGCCGCAGCCGCAGCAGGCGCAGGCGCAGCGGGCGCAGCATCTGACGCGGGCTTATCCTCTACAGCGGCACCATCTTTCGCCGCGGGTTTATCCTCTCCAGTAGCGGCAGCGGGGGAATCAGTGTCGGCAGCCGATGCGTCCATGGGGGTGGGTGTGGCTTCCGCGTTGGTGTCCTGGGCGGTGGTGCTCTCCTTCTGCGCCTCCGCCTCCGTGGATCCTGTCATGGTTCCGCTCGCGCTGCCCTGTCGCTCGTCTCTCACCCTCGCTATTACTATCGTATTCTTAATACGCACTCGTCAATCACTCGCTCACTCACGCCTAATAGTCCTCTCTCCTGTGCTTAACCACAGATGCAGAACTGCAAGGCAACTGGATAGGCCGGGTGAGGCGCAGCGGAACGAGGAATGGACGGAAAGGGAAAAGGCAACCCGACGGGGTAGCAAGGGTGCAAGATAAAGGGCTAAACAGAAAGGAGGCTGCTTTTCGAGCTGGCCAGAGATGGATGGAGAGAACCCTGTCAGTGCTGAGAATTGTGGGGCTGCGGGTGCTGTGTAAGGTGGCGGGAAACCAGCAGATCGGGGCGGAACGGGTTTTGCTGGACCACTGCCCCTTGAGCATGGGTTCAAGGGAGGGTTTGACATACCCGATCGACTCGACAAGAGATGTTGGAAGGGTAGAATGTGGGTGAGCATTTGTATCCTGATGCCATATGCCCGAAAGACTTTATTGCCAAAATATATATTGAAAGACCATTACAACCTGTACAATGAGCATCTATGGGAAAGAACGTCTGCGTGGATAAAAGACTACTCGGCTCCATCACAAGCTTCTTGCAAAAACTCCATCATCCTTGTTATCACTTGCCGCATCAAGGTATGAGAGAAGAGTGGTGTGGGATAGACGTTTGAAAGGTGCAGCCCATCCTCCCGCAATGAATCGAAAATGGCAAAACACGGTCCCACGCCATGGACAGAGGAGCAGCCAACATAGTCCTCCACACCCAACCTCTCCACAAATCTCTGCAAGAGAGCGAGGAAAAAAATTGCTCAAACTCGGATTACAGCTCAAACAACACATTCTCCATATTTTAGAAGCTTATGTGCTCACAAATAATGTGTCACTCGTCCTCCTCACCTGCATCTTTTCGTGCAGGGCGTCCCAGAAGGAGCACACAGTGGACGTCCGCAGAGAGCTCTCTGGGGTGAGCTGAGGATGCAAAATAGCCTGCACATGGTAACAGCAAGGAAGATAATACGAGGAAGGATACTTACTAGAATTTGGAAATGCAGGCGCCATAATATATCCTTGTATGAACATCATCAGTGTTCCTTACTGCTACTCACCTGAGCCATGAGCATGTTTAGGTCACCCATGTCAGTGAAGTGTTTCCGATTCTTGATGGCATGCAGAGTTGACTCATGGCACCGCTTTGCAAGGTTCCAGAATTCAGTAGTCTCGCTCACTTGGTGTGTGTGCATCATGGCCGAATGGTAGAACCCTGCAATGAAAGCGAGGGGGATCCAGACATCACTGTAGGTGCCAGATAGTTGGTATTTACCATCTCGAGCAGAAGATAAACAGCATAAAAAAAAAAAAAAAATCATGCAAAGAGGGCACTTGAGACCGCATGTGACACCATGTGAAGATAAGACACAATATGTTGAGTGAATGTTGATTGCAAATTGCAAAAAAACAGAATCATACCAACAGTGTCCAAGGTGATCTCATGGGATAGCAATGGACGGCAGTCCAGAAACGTGGTGACAGCGTAGTGTTCTCCTTTGTGGCCCAGCTCCTTCACACTGGCCACAGCTTTCAGTGCCGCACATGCCACTGCTCCAAATATAGTAATGTTGTGCTTCTCACATGCCTGCATGTCACCGAACATGAAACAGGTAGACAAAAAGCTCCGTGGTGGGATCATCAAACAAGAGCATGATCCAAGAATCGAGAATGCTGGCGATGCTTGAGGGTGAAAGGCATCACCTGTTTGAGCCTTTCAGTGTCAGACCTGCTCAGTCCAGACCGAACTAGAGCAGACTGGCGCTCTGATGAGGAATCATGAAACGGAAGCCACGAATATCGACGAGAGTTCAGCCCATATCCTGTTTTAAAGAGGACGACAAGAACTCGTCAACTCACGAAACAGAAAAATGCACCAGGAATCTCAACAGCTTGAAGAGCCAGTGCTGAAGAGCAAGTCCAAACCATGATTCAAGAAATGGAATTCAACAAAGTAGCCTGACTTACCAACAACATCCAATCCATGCGCCCAGAAGGGCTTCCTTGAAAGTTCTGGAGGGATGCAGCTCTCCACATCCTTCAAAGTCGGTGTTGGCAGCTCTGCCTTCTGGCTCGTCGCAAATTGATCATTGCCCTTAGAGTTGAGCCCATTCTCAGAACACTCGTTTGTGCTGCCAATATCAGGACGGATCCCACCGCCATTAATCTCGTCATCAAGGAAGGAAAGGAGATCTTCCACGATGATGCCAGCAGACTTGCGGTCGCACACAGATGTATGTGCACGGAAAAGAATCAAGGAGCGACCCTCATGAAGCCTGAAAGGGGGACCAGAAACCATAGTGAGTAATCAGTTCAAATAGGATGAGCAGGCTTGATCTGTTTTCAGATAGAAGAAAACATGAAGCAACGCGATGGTTGATGCTTACCTGTACATCCTGAAGCACAGGAGGCTCGCAGCTTCATCTCCAATGGACGACTCGTCACACTTCCACGGCTCATTCATGGCGGATTCAACGATTCTAAGCCAGTGGTCCTGACAGAGACTCATCTTGAACCCACTTCGGCCCGACTCGCTGCGTTCCATAACCTCTTCTTCAGCAACTACCTTGCCACCGCCACCATCGATCGAACACCTCCTTCCGATCTCAAAGGAATCGTCCAAAAACTCCTCAGAGCCTTCCCCGTTACCGTCAAAAGACGCCGCGATTGAGTCTGGAATATTCTCAATCACTTCAACCTCCACAACGCCATTGGAGGTCGTCTGCAGCGAAGAAAAAACAAGGCACGCATAAGAGTCCGTAGCCATACATGTTGCAGCAAAGATGTCGGCCTGATCAGCAACGCATGAGTTGGTAGAGCTTGAGTGTCAAGCAAATAACAGCGCACCTGGAAGTGCGGGCGACCGTTGACGAACACAAGCTGTGAGAGCAGCCTGGGATGTTTCTTCTGAACGCTGTTCACCGCGTTCTGCAAAGCCTCGCGCGTCACCTCCATGCTGACGAGGACACCCACAACCGTGTTCCCTGTTCCTCCATTCACGGCACGGAGCCAATTCTGCAAAATATACAAGAAGCAATCCAAGGAGGAGAGAGAACCGGCACAACGATGTTGATTTGCATTGTCGACGCGAGTGACGGAACCGCAGAATTCGCTCAGTCACGAAAGACCGGGTGGCGAGTGCATTTGATAGACATGCGTACCTCCTCCGTATTTCCGAGTGGCCGGCTGTAATCACAAAACACCTGGCCATCATGGGTAGGCATGTTCGTGCTAATATCCGCGTTTCCCATTGTAGAGATGTCTTGAAATTGGAGATTATGGAGAGGTAAGGAGATACCGGAGACTAACAGCGTTGAGGAGCACGCTTGCAGTGAACTAGCGTTCTCGTTTACTCTTCTCTGTTCTCAAATACTAAAGCATAGGACCAGACAAGGATTCGTGGCTAGGACACTGTCTAGGTTTTTGCCCCTCACGGGTCGCAATCCTCCAGCTGTTCGGCGCGAACCTCTCTGTTCGTTCCCTGCTAACCGCCGGTAGGGGGAAGTCTTGGAACTTGTTCGGGCCTCGACCTTTCGTGAACCGTCCAAGGTGGGCCCTCGCTCGCAGGCCCCCTTGGATTTGCCGAGTGTTGACTTGACGACACACAGGAGCCAGTGGAGGGGATACCGAGGACGAGGAAGAAGGCGACGGGATGAAATCAAAGTGGGACAGGGAGGAGAGAGGGGTCGATGAGATGAGCGAGGTGAAAAGGCTGATTGGACGTGTACAGCGAAGGGGGGCTGGTGATGACAGATTGCGCTTGTTGAGCGCTGCCACGCTGCGCTGCTATGCTGATGCGAGCTGGTTGTTTTCACGCAAGATGAACCTTTGAGCACCGCGAAAAAAACAATCCCGTCCCAAATCCTTGCCAGCGAGGGCATCTCGCAACCCAAAAAGCTACGGGGGAGGGCAGGTGAAAATGGAGTTTACGAATCACATCGCGCCAACGCATCCACCGTCACAGCAACGAGGCGCGCTGTACTGCCCGAGGAGTCGCTCTCGTCCTGAATATATTCAAATCCCAATGTGGTTGAGATGAGGTGGTTGGTGGTCCCAACGCAATCCGCGCTGAGATAGCGTTGCTGTCTCTGACGAGTTTTCGCGTGGCGGGGATGATGGGTATAGAACCCGTTACTGGATTCTACCGCACTGTAGCCAAACGCAGCTCCGGTAACGAGTAAGTTATACGTCTATAACAGCGGCGCAATATGAGACAGCAAAGCGACTTATCCAGCTCATTGCCACTAGTATTCCGCAATATAGCAAGCTAGAAAATGAAGGTTTTAGCTAGTTTCGTCCGTGACTTTCTTATTTCTGCTGCATATGCTAGTAGTGAACTATTTAATGCAAATGATTTTATTTTTAGAACGGAATACCTGGTCTCGACAACTGTTCTGTTATGTGCTGATTGCCCCGCACATCTGGAGCACATCTTCCTTCCTGTTCGACATTGCTTATGAGCAGGCTGGCAGCATTTTCCTCAGACTTAGAAAGCTTGGTTCATGGCTGCTTTCGCGCTGATCCCATCACCTATGCCCCCCAACTCTTTATTTCGACCTCAATCCGTCTTGCCATTCGTCCCAGAGCCACGGCCGTCGTGTACTCCAGTACCAACGGCGACCACCCAAGTTGCAATTTCCGCATTCCTGTCACGACGTCAGTTGCTGGTTACCACCTTGGCGAACTCTCGTCTCTCGCTGACGCGATCCGCCTTCGCAAAATTCCGTTCTGTGGTTCAGCCGCCTTCTAGATTGGCAGCGTGCCTTCGTCCCGCCACCATTCCCTCTGCCCTCTCCTTCTCCCACTCCTCCCATTCCTCCCACTTTTCCCACGCCACCACTAGCGCCACTAGCCGCTCCATCCTCTCCGTATCACTCATCCCGTCACGATCAGTTATCTCCTGCAGCCTCCTTGCGCCGTGCCTGCCCCGCCCTACTAGCGCCCGTCCTGTTGCCCCTTTTTCCACATCTTCTTCCGCTATTTGCCCCCCTCCCCCTCTCCCGGCCTGCTTCTCCGCCTTTCCGCCTCCTTCCCCCCACTCCATGCCGCCCTTCCCCCTACCGGTATGGCAATCCGCGCGCCTCCGAGGGAAACGGGCAGGGCGAAATGGCGCAACGGGGGAAAGCAATGGGAACGTGGGGAGCATTGGAAGCGAGAGGTCTCAAGACCCGGAACTGACGAGTCTGAGGGAGGTGAAGGAGGTGAAGGAGGTGAAGGAGGTAAAGGAGCTCAAGGGTGTGAAGCAGGGGTTACTGGATGATGTGGGCGAGAGTGGATCGCAGGACTCTTTAGGAGCGCCAGGACGTCTAGTGAAAGCAGAGGCCGGGCTAGCAGCTGCTGATCGGTCCCACATTCAAACCATTTCTGCTGGCTCTTCTCTTCCACCTGCTGCCGCCGCTGCCGCCGCCGCCGCCGCCGCTGCCGCCGCCGCCGCTGCCGCCGCCGCCGCTGCTGCTCCTGCATCTGCTCCCGCTCCTCCTGATGCTTCCACTGACTGCGTTGCTGCTGCGGACGTGCCTGTGAACAGTAGCACTGTTCAGAAACGAAGAGGTAGAAGCAGAAGCCAAGTCAGTGGCAGTAGCAGCGGCAGTGGTGGCGGCAGTGGTGATGGTGACCTAACTCGCTATTACAGGCAGGTGAAGAAGCGGAGAGGAGGAGTTGTCGTGCAAGGGGATGGTGGAGAGATGTTCAAGCGCGTTGGGGAAGAGAATGGGAAGCAGATTGCATCCGCTGCACCTGTTGCTTCTGCTGCACTAGCTGCTACTGATCTTGCTGCTGCCTGTGCTGCGGAAGCGCGTGCGGCAGCAGAGGTGGATCGCAGTGAGTGGCGGTGGCAGCAGCTGAGAGTGGAACCAGGCGAGCTAGACCTTCACCTCACCTTCGCCACTGGACAAACCTTCAGGTGCGCATGCATGATGAATGGGCGCATGATGTGCACATGATGGGACTTTTCATGAGGGGGATGTGGGCAGGTGAGAAGGGGGGAGAGGGAGGGAGGAGGGGATTGGGGGCTGGTAATAGCTGGGAATCATCAGAGTTTGTGTCTTAGGGCAATCATTTGGCTGATGCACTCATAATGCCCTTGCAATTGTCGCTGCCTTTACATCGTTTTCCCGACGCACCCTTTCCTTTGAATCCCACTCACCTGTCTGTGCGGTCTCAGGTGGGTAGAAACTGGTCCAGGGGAGTTCTCAGGTGTCGTGGCCAACCGCCTAGTCACCCTGCGCCAGGTGTGTATGCTTGCAGGCCAGATGGACTGGAAACTGAGTTGGATTCTCTTGGCTTAGCTTAGCTCCGTGAATTTCATATGCTGACATGACACCATATCCAGATCCAAGGCCCACCACCACAATGCAACACCCACCCACAAGGACCACGCACAATGCACGAGCACCACGCACCATGCACCATGCACCATGCACCATACACCAATGCACCACGCACCATGCACCATGCACCATGCACCAATGCACCACGCACCATGCATCACGCAGCATGCACCATGCACCATGCACCATGCACCACGCACCATGCACCATGCACCATGCACCACGCACCATGCACCATGCACCATGCACCACGCACCATGCACCATGCACCATGCACCGCGCACCTCTCATCAACCACCACCACGCACCTCTACCACCCCTTATCCACCACCCTGTCTGGCTTTTCCTTCTCCTTGACTTCCCACCCCTCTAGCCTGTGCCTCTGGGCCCAGTCTCGGTGTGCATTCACTCTCCCACTCTTATGACGAAAGAGGAGCAAGAAGAAAGGCGTTCCGATGCATCTCTGAAGGTTGCTGAGGGCGCATTGTCGATGGCAGAAGGCTGTGCGAGGGAACAAGGAAGGGATGCAGCAACACGGCAAGCAGAGGGACGAGAAAAGGAAGGAGAAAAAGAAGAGCAGGATTCGGTCATTCTAAGAACAACGGCTGCTAACGGGACGGGTGCTGCTGCCGCTAATTCTGATCCACGTCAAGAGTCAGGCTGTGAAGCGGCAGAGGAAGCAGCAGTGATGGCTGCTTTGGAAGATTTGCTCAACCTCCATGTAAACACACTCGATCTGTGAGTCTGCAGCATCTCCGAATGGCAACTGTTGCCTGCTTCCTTGCATGCACTTCAGGGGGTCTTGTTTTTCCTTGTTTTTCCGCAGATTGACTAGAAATGTATGAGGATCATTGATCCTTCCCTGCTGCCAAGCACCGTCTTCTTTCCTTCCGCTGCTGCAGCTACTGCATTTTTTTGTGCTGTTGCTGTTGCTGCTGCTTATGCCGCTCGCTGAATTCCCACAATCTGCTGAATTTTTGGAGTTTGTAAAGCATTGAGACTTCGCATTTCAAGCTCCCCGTTTTTATTCCCACTGCCACTGCCACCACCACCACTCATACCACTCCACCACTGCCATCACCACTACAGGTACCGGCAGTTTGCTGAGTGCGAAACACACTTCGCGTCCCTCCTCCCCATGATTACTGGCTACAGGATACTCCGACAGGTCAGCCCTTTTTTGTTTGAGTCAAGAATCCGACTCATGACGTCCTCCCCACTCCCTCTTAACCACACATATCCAATAAGTTCCTCCTCTCTGAACACGTACCCGTTGAACCATCTGTACTCCTCGTCGCCTGTTTGCATGCGCATCCTGAGAGGCAATTCCTCAAGCAGGCCTCAAGAGCCATCATCACCTGCTGAAGTAGCATGCAGCCGTCTCATCTCATGCCACGTTTTTGACTTTGATCCGCTCTCCAGGCGTTCCAAAAGTACCTTGACACTTCATGGTCTGGATCAACTTCACCAACATGCCTCAGCCAGCCTTCTCTGGCTGAGAAGGCTGGCTGAGGCATGTTGGTGAAGTTGATCCAGACCATGAAGTGTCAAGGTACCTACGCTCTGGTGCTATGCCGTGATTTCCTCCTCTCCCTGACACAAAACCTCAAACTCAGAACCGGAAATCCTCTCTTTGGCTCTCTCCTAAACCGTCCGAACCCACCTACCTCTGTCCTCTACTGGCCCTGGGTGCTACGGATCAGGAGCCAGTGGAGTGCCTCTTTCAGTTCATCTGCTCCTCCAACAACCACATCTCCAGAATATCCTGTCCGTAACCTCCCTACCTTGCTTCCCTCTTCTCCCCTCCCTCCCTCTCTCCCTCCCTCCCTTGCTCCCTCCCTCCTTTATTCCCTTTGTTCGTACATTTCCTTCCTCTGTCCACTCCTTCCCTTCGTGCGCACCTTGCTGAAGCTTCTTGCGTGCAACCCAACCGTGGCTCCTCAACAGTGGTCCATGTTCCAGCCGTTTACCTGTTCACCTCTCTCCCCTTCTCCCCCTTCCTCTTCCCCTCTCCCCCCTCAACTACAGCCATGGTGGAGGTGTTGTCACAGCAGGGTCCCCTCATAGCCACCATCAACGGCCGTCCCTTCCATGCCTTCCCCTCACTGGAGTGTCTCTCCTCGCTCTCAGAGGGTTATTTGAGGGAGCGCGGCTTTGGCTACCGGGCAGCCTTCATTGTGCAGACTGCATGCCACCTTCACCAGAGTATGTGGTGCTGTGCGATGCGATGCGATGCGGTGCTGTGCTGTGCTGGGCTGGGCTGTGCTGTGCTGTGCCGTGCCGTGCTGCGCTGCGCGTGCTGCGCTGCGCTGTGCTGTGCTGTGCTGTGCTGTGCTGTGCTGTGCTGTGCTGTGCTGTGCTGTGCTGTGCTGTGCTGAGCTGTGCTGAGCTGTGCTGTGCTGTGCTGTGCTGTGCTGTGCTGTGCTGTGCTGTGCTGTGCTGTGCTGTGCTGTGCTGTGCTGTGCTGTGCTGTGCTGTGCTGTGCTGTGCTGTGCTGTGCTGTGCTGTGCTGTGCTGCGCTGTGCTGTGCTGTGCTGCGCTGTGCTGTGCTGTGCTGTGCTGAGCCGTACTGTGCTGTGCTGTGCTGAGCCGTACTGTGCTGTGCTGTGCTGAGCTGTACTGTGCTGTGCTGTGCTGAGCCGTACTGTGCTGTGCTGTGCTATAGTGTGCTGTTCTTTGCCTGTACTTATCCACGCCCCTCTCTTCCCCTCAATCTTCCACCCCTTCTCCCCCCCTTGCCCCCCGTTTTCTCTGCGCACACAGTGCAAGCCACAGGTGGCATGAGTGGCAGTGAGTGGTTGCAGGCGATGCGGCAGCAGGCATGGCAGGAGGTGGAGCGGCAGCTGTGTGAGCTGCCAGGCGTGGGCCCCAAGGTGGCAGCATGTGTGGCGCTGCTGTCGCTGGACCAGCATGCTGCCGTGCCCGTCGACACCCACGTCTGGCAGGTGCGCTGTGCTATGTGGTCAGGTGCGGTGCTGGGTGCAAACGCCAGGCTTTCTAACAGGCACAAGGGTAAGACACTCCCATGCTCCCCTTCGCCCCCACGCAGCTGGCTCAGAGGCACTACGCGAGCAGCATCAAGGGCAAGACGCTCACTGCACGGGTGCGAGTGCAGCTGACACAGGCGCTGGAGGGGATGTTTGGGCCCATGTGTGGCTGGGCTGTCAACGCTATGTTCGCCTCTGAGCTGCCATCTGTCAAAGCACGCTTTGCTGCTGCAGGTCCTGCTGCCATGAGCAGCCTGCTTCTGAAAGAGAAACAAGCTGTTCCGGACAGCACTCCCTGACTTCCGGCATTAGCATACGTGTGGTACCTTACCACCAATATGTGTGGCGTGTCAGTGGTTCGCACCCACTGCACCACGAATGCCCCAGTTGGTGTAATTTCAATTATTATGTTCTGGCAAATATCTCATCCGCAGCTTCACCTACGGGATTGCCATTGTCTAAAAAGAAAGGCATTACTATACATTCACATCACATTACAATATCTTCCTTCAAGAGAGTGAATGTGCAAGCTCCTCCATCCAATGCCAAAAAACAAAAATATAACGCAGAAAACAAAAGCTGGAAAAGCAGAGGCCCATAATATACATTGGGCAACCAAGGTCAAAGAAGAGAATAGACAAGGCAACAGCAGGCCTAGCAACCTGCAGCAACTGGCAGCAGCTGCTTAAATGGTAGAAGAGAAGCTACAGCAGTGGCCGTGCTGGATACATCATGTAAGAGACAACATAAATCTGGAGAAGTCGGTGGTGGAAATGAAATGGTATGGGATGGGATAGGAAAGGTTGGGATGAATAGGGATGGGATGGATCATGGGATGGGATGGGACGGGATGGAATCCGATACTCCTGATGCTGACACTGAAATTGACCGTCCGCTGTAGCTGCCGATAAAATCGCTGCTGCTGCCACTGCATTGCTGCTCCCCTGCTGCTGCTGCTGCTGTTGACACAACCACAAGCATGTGAAGCCTGAAAGCAGCCCCATTCCCCTAGCTATTACACACAGAAACCACCACATAGGTACGTCGCACTCCCACCTTCACCCTTCCCCTCTTCCACCCCCTTCCTCTCACCCTCACCCTCACGCCCAAGCCCCTCGCAGCCCCCTCTCATCGTGCAACACCAGGGGGTTACCCGAGCCTCTCTCAGCTAGAGCCACCAGCCAGCGCGCCACAGCAGGGCCGGAGGCACTGAAGCGGCCGCCGTTGGATGCGGAGGAGCGGAAGGGCGAGGAGAGGGCAGTTAGGCACGCCTCCACCTGTGTCTTGATCACGCTCGTTCCCACCACCTTGCTGTGCCTCCCCCACCCTGTTAGCACACTGCAGGGAACGGACGGCGGAGAGGGAAAGAGATAGGTGGAGGGGGAAAGGGGAATGGAAGCGAAGGGGATGGGGGTTACATGAAAAGGGCCGCCACCTGAAACTTGATGGCGCTAGTTCCCACCACCATTCTGTGCCGCCCCCACCTCGTAAGCGCGTTGCAGGAAACAGAGAGCGTGGCAGGTGGGGAAGAAGAGAGAGGGGGAGAGGGAACAATGTATGGTGCCGCATGCTTCATACAAAGATCAGTTGCGCATGGACTTGAAATAACAGGATTCCTACATGCCCCAGTGCTTATTTCTACCAAGTGGTCAGTGCTTGGCTCTACCAAGTGGTCAGTGCTTGGCTCTACCAAGTGGTCAGTGCTTGGTTCTACCCTGACCGCTTGCCTGGCTGGTGCTAAGATAATAAGATGTACTTACTTAAGAAGTCGGGGTAGAGGGTTAGTGCTGTTACTGCTACCACTGCCGCTACCACCGCTACTGCTGGTGGCAGTGCTGGCACTGGTAGCAGCGACAGCAGAGGAGGCGGATCCAGCAGAGTGAGAGGAGGAGAGCACGAGGCGCTGTAGATCGAGCAGCCAGAGGTGCAGCATGGCCATGGCAGCGCCGACAGACATGAGGTGCAGGTCCAACACCCACTCCTGCGCCTCCGCCTTGCTCCACACCGCCCCCTCGTACACCCCCACTCGCCGCGCTCCCCGCGTCACCCTCACTGCTTGCGCCCTCTGTTACTCCGGGGGAGAAGATGCCGGGGGGGATATGCGGGAAGGGAGGGAAAGGCGTGTGTGTGATGATGGTGAGGAGTGCGCAAGGGCATGTCATGAGATGTAGATTTGATGTGCTTTTGAAGGTGCTACGAAATCAACACGGGTGTAAGCCCTTCCTTCCCTCCCCCCCCCAGATGGAAACAAGACCCCGAGTGTGCTGCGCTTGACTCGCTTCTCAAATCTCTACAAGGTGCTTGCAAGCCTTTCCCTCTTCAATGCATGCGAAGCAGCGAATCTGCAGTGCAGTGCAGTGCAGTGCAGTACCTGGTTGAATCGCCAGAGCAGGTCGTTGAGAGCGTTGAAGAAGGCAATGGAAGTGGACGAGTCCAGAGCTGCCACCGCTGCAAACAGCTGCTGCACTTCACCCCGTGACAACACCCGCACTCCCTGCACCACCTCCCCACCCGCACCACCACTGCTGCTGCTGCTACTACTGCTGCTGCTGCTGCTGCTGCTGTGGCTCTCCTTGTCTGTCTCGTCCTCCTCGCTCTCCCCATCTGCATGCACGCACCCATGCAGCATGGCCTCCGCAAGCACGTACACCCCTGCACTCGCCTCACTGCTGCTTGCAGCACCGGGAGCAGCCTGCCCGGCAGCAGCAGAGGGCTCCGAAGCCAATGCAGCAGCCGTGGCAGTGGCAGCAGTAGTAGTGGAGGTGCTTTTTTTTGTCGTTGTGGTGTTGGTGGCAGTGGAGGCGGGGACAGCAGGGGCTTCGAACGTGGATCCCATCTCGCGAAGGAGCAGGGCTGCGTCACGCCAGTTGGAGAGACGACTGAGGGAGAGGTGCAGGGGAGGGGGGTGCAGGGAAGGGCAGCAGGGAAGGGTGCATAGGAGGGAGCAAGAGGAGAATGATAGTGGAGTTACGGAGGAGGGGAAGAGAAGAGAGAAGGGGGATAGTTTTGCAGGGATAGATTAATTGAGAGGAAGGAAGCAGGAGTGAGGAAGGGGGTGTGCAGGGTGGGGGAGGATTGAAGATAGACAAGGAGGAGAAGTATAATGGCGGTTAGAGCGGACGCATATACACACCTGCAGGTGGACAGCATGGCAGAGAAGGTAACAACATTGGGGCGAACGCCCGCTGCCTTCATCTCTCTGAACATGCGCAGTGCTGCCTCTAACCGCACCTCCCTCCTCCCTTCCTCCTCCTCCTCCTCCTCCTCCTCAGCCTCCCCGTCCTCTGCATGCTGCTCCTGTGTCTTTGCCCCGCCGACCTCCTCCCTCCTCTTGCCACCCTTACCCCGCGCCTCGCTTGGCTGTGCAGATGCCGTGACCTGGTTGAGGGACCAAACACCGCATGTGGAATAGCACAGCTTGTGGGGATGAGTTGATGTGTGTGTCAACGAGCATGTTGGCGTGTGAGCATGTGGGCAGTGGACAAGACTGGATACATGCATGCGCAACCGTGTACAAGAGTGCGCGTGTGAGACAACAGAACAAAAGGAAAGGCAGCGGAGGAGGAGAGGGATTAGGGGGAGTGGGGAGGGAGGGGCGGCTGTACCTGGGTGGAGCGGCCGAGGGCATCAATGAGCGAGTTGTATGTGACCACGTTGGGCTGTACGCCGTCGTGCAGCATCTGACGGAAGACGCTCATTGCCTCCTCCACCTTGCCCTGCTTGCCATGCGCGTCTATGATTGCACTGTACACCACCACGTCCACCTGCTCTCACATGGCCCATGCACATAAACATAAACATGCACATAAGCATGAACGCATATGCACGTGCACATATGGACGAGGGCAGGCTTTAAAGAGCCACCTCAATGGTGCGTTGGTGTCCCACGGTATACCAACACACACAATGAACATCAGTGGGCGCACACCATGTGTAGTGTAGGCGCATTGCCCCACGCACATCGGGGCTTGCAGGGCGGACGAGAAGACTGAGGGGAACGGCTTGCCGTGAACCCCTACCTGCAGGCCCATGTCGCGGTACTGCTAGCCGTTTGAGGGTCAGAAATAATTAAAATAGAAATGAAGAGTAAATAATAATAATAATAATGAATCCCACCTGCAGCCCCATGTCGCGGTACTGCTGGAAGAGCGCCGCGGCCTCCTGGTGCCTTCCCGCGCGGGACAGCACGGTGACAACGGCAGAGAGCGTGAGCACGTTGGGGGTGAGCCCCTGGCGCTTCATGGCGTGGAACAGCCGCATCACCTCGTCGCACCGCCCCGCCTTGCCCGAGCACGTTGTGAAAGCAAAAGAGGGGATGGAGGATGGGGAGAGGCAGGGAAGAGGAAGGGAGAACGCAGAAACCGAAACAGAAACCCACCTGGAGGCCCATGTCGCGGTACTGCTGGAAGAGCGCCGCGGCCTCCTGGTGCCTTCCCGCGCGGGACAGGGCAGTGACAACGGCCGACAGTGTGAGCACGTTGGGGGTGAGCCCCTGGCGCTTCATGGCGTGGAACAGCCGCATCACCTCGTCACACCGCCCCGCCTTGCCGTACGCGTCCAGCAGCGCGTTGTGGGCCACCACGTCTAAACGCCACCCCGCTGCTTCCATCTCGCGTGCCACTGCTATGGCTTCGTTCAGCCGGCCCGCCTTGCCGTAGATGTCTAGGAGTGTGTTGTACGTCACTCTGGGAAAAGGGAAAACGGTTGCGGAAGGGAGGGTTTGGGTTGTCAAGTGCAGGGCACAGCTGATTGAGGCGGGCTGATGGCCCAGGCAAGAGCAAAGATGGTTGGGGACGGGGGGGGGGGGGGGGGGGGGGTGGGGGGTAATGTGTGTGTGCCGACGGTGCAAGGAAGAGTGCAAGGAAGAGTGCAAGGAAGTGTGGTGCCGGCGTGTGGTGCAGGTGTGTGGTGCAGGCGTACCTGTCGGGGCGCACCCCCGCGTGCTGCATGGTGTGGAACATGTTGATGGCGCTGGACAGGTCGTTCACCTTGCGGTAGCCGTCTATCATCGTGCTGAACGTCACCTGCAGGCAAGGCACGCACACATGCATGCATGCACACATGCACGGATAACGGTGGAGTAGTCAGGCACATGCACACGGATGGGCCGATTGGGGGAGTCGGAGGAGAGTTGGAAGGGTAGGACGAGGAGCAAAGAAACCAGAGCGAGAAGCACTGCAGAGTTCTTAGCTGCAGTGCGCGTCACGGCACGGAACGGAACGGCACAGCACAGGAGAGAGCAGAGCAGAGCAGAGCCACAAGAACGCACCACATTAGGTGTGACATCAGACTGGGCCATGGAGGCAAAGGCAGCGGCAGCAGCGTCCATCTGGGAGGCTTTGCATAGCGCGTCAATGAGCGTGTTGAACGTGAATATGTCCCGCACCAACGGCACCGCCCCCTCCTCCTCGCCCCCTTCCTTCCCCCGCCGCCTCCCGCCCTGCCCCTGCTGCTCCTTCCTCCCGCCCCGTGAACCTGCTACTGCTGACGCTGCAGGAGCAGAAGCGGTGGAATCAGCGGTACTGGCAGTAGCAGCAGGTGCAGCAGTGGTGGCGGCAGCGCAGGCTTCCTGTCCCATGAGTTCGAAGACGCGTAGCGCCTCCTGCCACTGGCCTGCCCTGCTGCACACTGCCATGAGCGAGTTGTATGTGATCTGATCCCACACAAGGGGCCTCCCACGCACACACACACACACACGCACGCACACACACATATGCACGCACGCACGCATAAGCACGCGCACACGCACGCACGAGCACGACCACACGGGGGACACACAAGGAACGGAAAAGCGAAACAGTATCAGTGGCGCTGCAGCACAAATCAGGGAGGAGTTCCCTCAAAACGGCATAGAAAATGTACTTTCTCTCCAACACTCCTCCTCCCCACCCACCACGACCTGTCTTCATTCTTGCCCTTCTCCCCCTTCCCCCACCCTCCCTTTTTCCTCCCTTCCCTTCCCTTCCCCTTCCCCCACCCTCCAACCATCCCTGCACCCATCCCCCATCCATCCCGCATCTCACCCATCCCCCCACCCCCTCACCCACCCGGTCAAGAGATCGCCAAGCTCCTTCTACCAGCGCCCATGCACGCACTACCTCCGCATCACCCTCGTCTTTTGAAGCGCCTCAGAAGTTCCCCCACCCTCCACCCCCCCCCCCCCCCCCCCCCCCCCTTCTTCATCCCACCCTCACCCACCCGGTCAGGAGCAATGCCAAGCTCCTTCATCTCGTGCACCAGCGCCCATGCGCGCGCCACCTCCGCCTCGCCCGCACTGGCAGCGCCGCCAGCCTTGGCGCAGGCGTCGATAGCCGCGTTGTACGTGACCAGGTTGGGCCGGCACCCCGCGTCCCTCATGCTGCGCAGCAGCGCCAGCGCATCCGTGCTGCGCCCACTGCGCCCTGCTCCCATCCCATGGGCACGCACGCGGGGAGGAGCGGAAGAGAGAGACGGCGCAGGGGAGAGGAGAGAGAGAGGGGGTATTAATGTAATAACGCCTGTTACAGACAGAGACACAAAACCACCACCACCAGCAGCAGAAGCAGCATCCTTGAACAAAAACAAAAAAAACTGCAACCGCGCTCACCACTCACTCACTCCCTCACTCACCGTAGGCGCTGATGAGTGCAGAGAAGGCGTAGACGTTGGGCGGCACGCCAAAGGCGCGGGCGCGGTCAAAGACGCGGCGAGCGGCGTCCACCTGGCCGTGGCGGCCCAGCACTGCAATCGTCGTGCTCACCAGCTTCGCCCAGTCGCCCGCCCCTCCGCGTCCGCCCCGCTTCACCCGCGGACTCTCCTGCAGGAGGGAGAAGGGAGGACGACATGAGAGGGGAAACGGGTGGATTGGTAGGGATGCTGCGTTGCGTGGTGGATGGGTCAATGGATGGGTGGACTGGACGGGTAGGGTGAAGAGAGAGTGAGAGTACAAAAGACACATGCTGGAATCTCCTCACGAGTCAAATTCACACACGAAGGCACACGCGGAATCAATTATCCCTTAGAAAGTAAGGGAACACGCAAACCGACTCACGAGCAGCCAGTTGAAGCAGGCGAGGGTCTTCTGCCACTGCCCTCGATTCCCCAGCTCCCTGAATATATACGACCAGTTCGCCAGCGTCGGCTCTCCTCCTGCGCCCTGCTGCCCCTGTCCATGCCCCTGCTGCCCCTGCTGCTGCTCGCGCTGCCATCGGTCCAGCACCTGGGACAGCAGCACGTCGCACTCCTGCATGTCCTCGCTGCTGCAGTTGCTGCTGCTGTCGCTGCTGCTGTCCCCACCACTGCTGCTACTGCTGCTGCTGCTGCATGTGCTGCTGCCGCAGGACGCAGAAGACGGAGAGGTGACACCACCACTGCCACTGCTACCGCTGCTACTGCTACTGCTAGAGCCGTAGCAGAAAGGGTCCGGGAGGGCGAGAATCTCCTGCACGACGGCTTCAGCAGCGGCGCTGTGGTTGCCCGAGTGTGCGCCCACTCGCCCATGGTGGAACTTGGACACTGTGCGTGCAGGCCTCCTCCTGCTGAAATCCCCGCCCAGAGCTGCACGGAACGCAGGGTCACGGATTCGGTTACGGTTATGTGAGTTAAGTTGAGTTGAGGTTTTTGTAACAGCCACAAGGTGGGGGGAACGGGGAGGAATGGGAGGGGTAGCGGGTGGGGGGTTGGGAGAGGGTGGAGAGAGCGGAGCCTGGGGAAGAGCAAGAAACGAGAGAGAGTAACGAAACGAGGGAGCGCTATCGTAGCTACGTCACGTCACGTCACGTCACGTACCGCCAATGGCCAGGGGAACGCTGGCCTCAGCGAAGCTCCTCGCCGACGCTGCCACGGCTGCTGCCGCAGCCTCCGCAGCAGCCGCCGCTGCCGCCGCGTTCGTCGCGCTAGCAGCCAGCGCCGTTCCGCCACTGATCCCCCCTGCTGCTTTCCCCGCACCCACCACTGGTGCCGTCACTGACGCCGCGGCCGCCGCGGTCATCACTCCGCCTCCTCCGCCTTTTCCCCCTTTTCCTCGCCTCAACTCACCGCCCCCCGCTCTGGACCAGTTAGCGCCTGCGCCAGCTGCGCCTGCGCTAGCTGCGCCTGCGCTAGCTGCGCCTGCACCCGCGCCAGAGATCCTACCCGCGCGTCCCCCAATGTCCCCCGCCCTGCCGACTCCACCAAACGCGCGGCTTCCCCCGCGGAACGGGCCGTGCGCGGAGCCTCCGGTAGCACCGAATCCGGCGGAAGCGGCGGCGGCCGCCGCCGCTGCTGCGCCAGACGCGGAGCCAGCGGAAGCAAGTCCGCCTGTGGCCGGCGGAACGACCAGCGCGGCAGCGCGAGCCCCCGACAGGCGCGCGGAAGCATGGTGCTGGTGGTGGTGCTGCTGCTGCTGGTGCTGCTGGTTCTGGTGACGCTGATGGTGGAAGGATTGGGCAGGGCTGTGATGATTCTGATGAGAATGAGACATGGCTCCCCCCATTCGCACTATACTGGTTCCGCCAGCCCTTCCGAGCCTCTCATCGTCCAAAGCAGCTTCCAAACCTCCTGTTCCCGAGGCTCGCGGAGTGCCGGACCGAGCGGACGAAGGGCCGCGGGGGTGCTGGTGGTAACCACCTCCGCTTCCGCCATGCGCGTGGGTGCTTCCGCCAGGCCCGTGCGGGCGCAGCCCCGCGGCCCCGCGGAAGGAGCGCGGCCCGGAGGGCCCCGCCGGAGTCGGGAGTGCGGAACGGAGGGTGATTATAGAGAGCGGGGTCGAGGGGGAGGAGGAGGGCGCGAACAGACGCGTTCCTATATCGAGCAGCTTGGATCGGCACGCAAGAAGCAGACGAGGGTGGAGATTCACGAAAAGGTTCGCCATGGCTCCTCCTGCTCCTGCTCCTGCTCCTGCTCCTGCCCCTGTCCCTGCGCCTGTCGCTCCTCCTAATCCTTCTCCTAGACCAGACGTGGATAACGAAATAGCAGCGCCTTGACCTTTCACAAAGCCGACCTGCCGGCCAACCGCACTGAACCGGGTCGCCTCTTCCTCCGCCTCATCCGCCTCCTCCTCCTCCGCATCATCTTCCCCCTCAGCATTGCCGTCTCTGCCCACGCGCGCTTTTCTGGTCGGCTTCCGGGTTTTCCGGGCCTTCTTGGGCCCGTCCCGCTTACTGAAGCGGGCGATAAAGCGGGTCGCTGCAGAGACAACCGCGGCGCCTGGTCCGCCGGGAGGAAGGAAGCCGAGAGGAAGCTTCTGGAAGGTCGCAGCGGCGCTGCGAAGCCGAACTATGGCGGCGGGGGCAAGAGTACCCCCGGGAGGGACGGGCATGGCTACTGCTGTTGCTGCTGCTGCTGCTGCAGATGCAGACGCAGTTGGAGCTGCTCCTGCAGATGAGGAAACAGCAGTGGCACGCGACGAGCGCTTTAAGTCGTCCAGCCTGTCGAACTGAGAGGTTCTAGTTTTATGTAAGCGCAAAACAGGGGAACTTGGAATCCCGTGAGATCCGCAGCTTCAAAGAGGTTCTGAAAACTCTGGGTGGGGGGTTGTACAAGAACCCTAAATGGCGAGTCTTGAAAACGGGCGACGACGCAATGTGGAAACAGAACTTCGGATAACAGAATAAGTCCACTCAGAAAAACGTCAGACGCCTAACGGCTGTACGAAAAGCCAACGCTTGGTCCTGCTGGAGGCAGCACAGGAGGAATTCGAGTGCTACGGAACGAACACTCCCCGCCTAATGTAATGGCGGCCCACTGAGTATATGTGGGCAGGGTGACTGCTACACGGTCATGCGCGAATTCCGCGACGGCTAATTTCTAGGCTGGTAATGGATGCAATGGATAAGTAGGCGCCTAGCCTAATCTGATGGTAACGGCTGCCTTCGTGGAGAGCGGTTTTGAGGGTAAGTAGCAGCTGTTTCTCCGTCCCCTTGCAAGGCCATCCTTAGTGGCCGCCCGCTTCAGAAAAACTGCGGGGCTCAGGAGCTTGGCGAATCTTAGAAAATAGTAGCAAGGAGAACCTTGAGAGGAGACGGATGCCAGAAGGCGTATGTCAGCTGTTGAGAAGTTGTGGCGGAAATGGCTGCAAGCGTGGAAGCAGCAGCAGGAAGTTCGGGCCTTGACTGAAGATGTGTTGAAGTGGTGGCAAGATGTAGTGAAACGGTATATTACGGTGCGTTTGGCAACCTCCAGCCTCTGAGATCTCAGTGGCAAAATTCAGGCTCTTCTGCTTGTGGTCCCAAGTTCTCCCAACCAAGCACAGATGCCGACAAGCTGTGTGGAGAAGAACCCCAGCCAGACCTGTTGCGACGACTCCGCGAAATTATAAACGAAGATGGTTACCATGCCGGCGTGCAAATTGCAACGGTCTGGAGGCCATGGGAATGGATTGGGGGCTGATTGATGTGACGTAGGAACTTAGTGACGTACGAAGCAACGAATAGCGATGGCTGACCGAACTTAGTTTTAGGTTCGGAGGCTGACCGAGCCAGACGCCGCTTTAGAAAGTGAGGTATGTGCGCACATCCGTCAATGCATGAGCCAGGGCTAGGCTGGATGTGAAATGATTCGGAATGACACTAGCAGACCAATAGAAACACTTTGCCCACCATCTGGGTTATTCACCAGAACCACAATATCTTCCTCACAGTAATGGTCGCAACCCATGTATGGAAATGACGTACGTACAATATCGCCGCACTTCTTCGAGCCATCGTCACACACACCTGATTGTTTCACTCGTTTAGCTGCTGCCGAACCAGAACGTCATTGTGTGGCTGAGCCATGAGCACGTGTATGCACAGTGACTGCTTCGGGTGGACGGGAGGAAGAACTGGCGAGCCAAAGCCGAACCGAGGAGCTTTGCTTTGGTCTGTTGCTTCCCTTCCACGCAAGCTTGGAAGCGTTTCGTTTTTGTGACATGTACTGGTTTTTACGACTGTGGTGCATCCTACCGTACTAAATAAATAACAAGATCCACTTTGGAGCCTTAACAGCACATTATGAAAAAAACTCAGCATATGCATTTTTCTTTACAGTACGGCACCCCACATACAGGAATAGGATCACACCTTTACATGTGAGCAAATAACCTGCTAGAATAGTAGCTTATAAATATGTACAAGCCATGACACAACAGGAGAGCACTAAGGTTCTCTCAATGCCTTCATTGCAGCAGCACGCCTGGCAGCTTGAGACATATCCACGACCTCAAAGTTCCTCCCATGCACACCATGGAGTGAATGCAGGTCATCATTATCCCATCCTTCGTTGGGTACACCAGTGATGTACCACGGTGAGCCATTGTCCGCTAGCATCATGCCATATGTCTGGAGCGCTTTCAGGACTATGCGCGCTTGTGGGGGAAACTTGGACGTGTCAAAGGACTGGTGGATGGACACGCGGGGAAGGAGGGGGGAAAGCGGAGCAATAGTAAGCACAGTGGAATGGAGCGGTGATGGAGAAACGGGCCAGACAACTTCACATGAGTTCCCCGAGCAAACTCCGCATCATGCCACAAGACATCCGCATTGCACCTTGACAAGCCAACCCACTTTCTACTCTGCTACCTGAGCAAATCGCCTCCCCCCACCTCATTCATCTGCCCTCTCTTCCCCATTCCCCTCCCTCCCCCCCTTTCTCCCAATTCCTCTCCCTTGCCCCCACTCCTTCCCCCATGTTGCCGCTGCCGTGCAGCCACCTTAACTCTCACCTTCTTGAGCCGCACGCGGATGCCCATGGGGGGCTGCCTGCGGTCGGTGTTGCTACTGGCGTAGTGCCGTGCGGGCCACACGTACTTGCGCTGTGTGCTGCTTGCGGTGAACCGCAGCGCGTGCCTGATGGCACCTGCCTGCACCTCTTCAAACCGGGCCAGACCTGGGAGAATCTGCAGTGTGAACGGCAAAAGAGGGATAGAGGAACGGCGGAAGGTAGAGAGGGAACGGGAATTAAGGAAAGTTCAGAAACTGCTGCCTGCCTTCCACTTGTTTGCAGTGGACCAGCCCTGGAAGGGTGGCGCGTCAGAGGCCCGGAAATGCAGGCTTCGAGGTGCGGCCATGTCAAATCGGGCTTCATATCATTCCACGGGCCACCAGCATTCAAGGCTCCAACTCAACAACATTGGAGCCAAAGTCCCACTGCACTCCCACCAACTCTTCTTCACTGTCCTCACCGGCAAGCCAGCAGCATCAGCAGAGGTCCAACCCGTGGGTCTGAGCTTGTTGGACGTTAGATTCCATATAGCACCACTCCCTGCCGACACTGCAAAGGGGAACAAGTGGGGGCGGTTGAGTGGTAGGAGAGGGATAGCTAAGTGGTACAGTTTTTCAAACACAGAACAACCACTCTTGCAACCTGTTTTCGTTTGTCTTTTTTTTACACGGAAACAGCATGCAGCAGCAGCGCCAGCAACAACAGCGGCAACGCCAGCAGCGGCGGCGGCGGCGGCAGCAGCAGCAGCACGACATGGGAGCACTGACCTTGGTCGTTGAGCTGCGAGTAGTCATATATCTCGTACAGCATGCACTGGTCCGTGTCCACCAGCAGCACGTGGTGGTCCGACCCCCCCTCCACTAACGGGGAAGCTGGTATGGGGTACGGCCCGGGGTCGCTTTCATCCGGGTAGTAGAAAGTGGGCGAGGTGGTGGGCGTGGAGCTGCTCACGAGGTTCACGGGAATGCCGATGGGGTTCCCATCCCACAGACCTGCAGTGGTGTGCACGGGAGAGAATGGGGAAGAAGGGATGAAAGGAGAAGTGGAGGGAAGGGGGAAATGACGAGACGGGAATATGAGAGACGAGGTACGGTTTGGAGACAGATTGTCAGTCGGGACAGAGGGGATTATCAAAGGAGTAAGCGAAAAAAAAGTTGAAAGAGAAAAGGTTGTGGATAATCAGGGGAAGGAAACGTTGAGAGAGTCGTGGTGCTTGGGTAGATTGACGTAGGAGGAGTCGTGGAGGGAGAAAAGAGAGGTTTGGAAAAGGTGAAAAAGAAAAAGAAAAAGAAGAAGAAGAAGAAAAAAAAACAAACAAACAAATTGACCTTACTAACGACAAATACAATAACCTTATGAGTTCGTCATCTCACCAGTCTCCGAGAATACCTGAGCCGAAATCTGCGTGCACGTGCGCGTCGAGTCCAATAGACGCGAGGTACGCCTTAGACATGGCGTGCACGGGTAGTTTGTCGACGCGCATGTTCCACACGTTGTTCGCGGGGAACACCGTGCACCCCCCCACTTCGGGCGGCGGGCCCGTCGGCGGAGCGGTGGTGCGCGGCGCGCGAGAGCAGAGCGAGCGGCGCAAGAAGCAGGGAAGGTCGCCGGCGCGGGACGGCGGGGAGGTTACGAGGAGTAGGAGCAGGGCGAGGAGAGGGGGAAAGGGGAGGAGAAGCGGGAAGGAAGCGGAACGCCGGAGTGGCAGAAGTGGGGTTGTGGCGACGCGGACAAAAGCTCGGCGATTCGCCATGGGGAGTGTAGAGGCGGGTAGCAGGAAATGCAGCGATACGACGGTTATGTGTTGCGCTATAGATTGGAAAACGGCGCCTCAGCTGTTGGTACTTGCAGCATTGATACGAGAACTGCGACGCTGCATAATCCGCAGCGCATTGGACCTTGCACAGAAGTTTGTAGATCTGCTTGGCAGGTTGTTGTGCTGTTGCCTGGGAAAAGGCCGGCCAGAATGGAAGAAAAGTAGGTGGAAGTAGACGGCGGGGCGGCGCCGCCTCTCAGGAAATGGAAACGGGGTGGAAAATCTGACGAGTCACGACAGGGAAGTTTGCCACGAATTCGGTTATCGTGCGAAAGGCGTTACTTTCTTCAAGGATTTCTTTTCGGATTGCTGCAACATCGTTCAGTTGATGATGCTTGCTTGTTCGGTTACTACACGGCGCTTTAAAAGAGTCCGACCATAACGGAGATCAAGTCGCGCGAGGCCTGTCAGATCGTGGCTTGCGAGTGCTGCTGATCCCGCCAAATGCATAGGAGGACAGCGCTGTATTCGTTCAAAAGAGGGCTTTCCGAGGCCTTGAAACCCCGAAAAAAGTGAACCGTTGGTACTGCTCGCTTGATTTGGCTTCCCACCCCTGGAATATTTTGGAAGCGAACCAGAAATACCCCCGTGGAAGGGAGTGAGGGCGGGTCAAAAGAGTACGTCCTAATGCGGTTCAGAAAGTTTTAGGCTTGATTCAAAGCGTTCTAATTGAAACAAAAAAATGGTTGGGTAGGGTCTCTGCGAATACGTGCAAAATTTGACCCGTCCATTCCACATTTCCAAATCCAGAGAGTGCCCGAGAGGTCTCGGCAGTGGGGGTACATTCTTGACACGAGTCAGGAACGCACCCTAACTAGAGAAAAACAACGGTCGTTTCTTGAAACCAGTCACACTGGAAGTAGTTCGCATATTTATTTCCCAACCCAACCCCTCTTCCACCCAAACCAAGATGGTGATGATTCTTTGATGCTTTGTTCAAGCCAGAACGATGTCCCTAGACGCCCTTAGAGAGATGCAGACCACGCAGACTTTATTCGTGAGCAACGTTGCCCAGAGTAGGTCTCGACTAGGGCAAAGATAGCGAAGCAAAATCAGAGCAGTCGTGAGGAAACACGGCCGGAATAGACCTAGTTCTTACACGTACCCTGTAAAGCTTTTCTTCGAAAGTCTCCCATCCCATCAGCTTCCTTGCAGCTGCTGTTTCACGCAGCGCATTCAAAAGCGCCGCACTGAGCCCCAGTCTACGTTTCAAGAGAGCCTCCTACCGATAACTTTCCCCTCTCAATCGCACTGTTCGCACCGTCGCACACCAAGAACCGAGGCTTCCTCCCCTTAGGCGTTTCGCACTCCTCCCCTCACTCGCCGTCATCGAAGCCCACGACTTGTCGGGCTACCGCATGAGGAGCCACGCCGCGACTTCGCTCCACCACACGGCTCCGCTCGGCTAGTAGCAGAATCTGACCCTCCAACCCCGTCTGGCGACCGCAGTCGCAGCTTCGACGGCGCGAACACTGCTTTTTAAAAGACTGCCACGGATCAAGGGTCTCCTGGCGAACCACACGAGAGCGAGAGGGTAGAGGGAGGGGGAGGGGGAGGGGGAGGCGGGGAGGTATTTAACGGAGACTTCTGTGACTTGTAATAGCCAGCTAATATCAGCGTAAACTGGCTGCATGAGATCGTAACCGCGCTAGACTCCGGCTCGGAAAAGCGTTCGAGCACGATTCACGTTATTTCAAGGCGAGAGATTGCAGCGGTGCCGCCGCCGCCGCCGCCGCCGCCGCCGTCGTCGTCGCCATGGGGGACAAGGGCGCGACACGAGGGTTCATAACGACGATCGCGCAGGGGCTGCCCGGGAAGTGGTTCCTCGTGGTGTCCACGGCATCGCTCTCCTCTGGTGCCATCTCGCCCTCCTTCCTCTCCTGGAACGAGTTCCAAGAGTGGTGGTGGCCGCAGCAACAGTGAGCTCTTCTCGCCTCGCCTTTCCCCTGCTTTGAGACGTCCCGCAGGCCGAGTTATAAACTTCTCGAATCTCAGGTTTTCTGTTTGGAAACTTCTCTGACCCCCTTTCTTGAACCACTCCTCACCCGCCCGCCACCCGCTCTCCACCCCTCCCCACCCCCTTCCAAAACCCCCACCCTCCCCTTCTCCCCCCGCAAAACCCTCCATCCACCAGTCAAATCGTGGCCGTGGGCTACGGCTGCAACGTGTGGCGCGCGGCGTACGCGTCGCACGTGTTCGCGCTGCAGACGTGCAACTTCTTCCCGTCCTTCGACGCGGCCTCTAAGTACATCGTGCGCCAGTCCGAGCAGGGCCTGCGCGTCACCGCGCTCGCGGCGGGCGCGGGGCAGTGGTTCGTCGTCATGAGCAAGGGCGGCGCCATGCCCGCGCTCTCGCAGGGGCTCGTCTGCTCCACCAGCCTCGCGGACTTCATCCGCACCTTCCAGCGGGTGCGTGCGCGCCTTGTGTGACTGTGTGCGTTGGGTGTGCGTACGTGCGTGCGCGCCTTGCGTGTGGGTGTGCGTACGTGCGTGCGCGCCTTACGTGTGGGTGTGCGTGTGGGTGTGCGTGTGGGTGTGCGTGTGGGTGTGCGTGTGGGTGTGCGTGTGGGTGTGCGTGTGGGTGTGCGTGTGGGTGTGCGTGTGCGTGTGCGTGTGGGTGTGCGTGTGCGTGTGCGTGTGGGTGTGGGTGTGGGTGTGCGTGTGCGTGTGGGTGTGGGTGTGGGTGTGCGTGTGCGTGTGGGTGTGCGTGTGGGTGTGTCCTGTTTCTCTCTTGAGGCGCCCTCGAATGTCGCAGGGCCTCGTCTGCTCCACCAGCCTCGCGGGCTTCATCCGCACGTTCCAGCGGGTGCGTGCGTGCGTTGTGCGTGTGCGTGTGCGCGTCTATTGTGTGTGTATTGTGTGTGTATTGTGACTTTGTGTGTGTGTGTTTTCTTGGTTTTGGTTTTTGTAACCTTTGAGGCGTGCCCCCGAATGTCGCAGGGGCTCTTCTGCTCCACCAGCCTCGTGGAACTCACCCGCACATTTCAGCGGGTGCGGTGCGTGCGTGCCTTGTGTGCGTTCGTTGCACTCGTACCTCCCATGTGCTATGAGAGGTCCTTCTGAGCAGTCTCACATGCTTCCCCACAGCCTGCCCTCGCGTACCTTCCTCCCCTCTCCCGCCTTGACATCTTCCCCCATTCCCCCCCCCCCCCACCTCCCCTTCCCCCTCTCCCTCCCCCACCTTCCCTCCTCCCGTTCCCTCCTCTCATCCCTCCCGTCCCTCGGCTTTGGCATGACAGGGATTCCCTACGATCGTGTGCCAACGAGGTGACTTTTGAGTCGACTCAAAAGTCTTTCCCTGTTCCCTCCTCCCTTCCCTCCCTTCACTTGGCTTTGCCATGGCAGGGATTTGAGGAGCACGATCGTGTGCCAACGTGTCTCGTGTATGGGGACGGCCGATGGGTGGGCGTTTGGAGTGCCGTCAGGGAGGGCGTAGTGGCAGGCGCTGGTGCAAGCGGCGGTAGCAGCAGCATCAGCAGCGGAGGCAGCAGCCTGACCTCCCTTCACCACAACAGCAGCAGCGGCAGCGGCAGCGGCAGCAGCATTACTAGCGTGTTTGGCAGCATGGGATTCGGTGCTGGCAGTGCCTCAACCGGCAGTGGCAGTGGCAGCAACGGGCATGCGCATGGGAGCAGCATCACGCCTACACCGCACGTGGTTACCAGTAGCAATACTAGCAGCAGCAGCAGCAGTGGTGGTGGCGGTGGTAGTGGTGGTAGTGGTGTTGGTGGTAGCACGGGGCAGCAGAGCAGGTCACTCAAGTTTGTGGTGGTGAGGCAGTCGTCTGATAACGCCCTGGTGCTGAATGCTCTAGAGGATTCGTACTCCATACTGGCTGTTGCGTCATCGCCTACAGCCACTCTTGTGGCCCTGATCAAGGTGTGTTTACTGCTGCTGCTGCTGCTCTCGCTCCCGCTCCCGGTGTCACTGCCGCCTCTTGTGGTCCCATGTCGTGATGAGCTTCTCCCTGCGGTTCTGCTCGGTGTCATCCTGTTAGATATCATATGCACCTTGTGTATACACGCACGGCTTCCCCCCCCCCTCACGCCCCTTTCTCACCCATTTCCTTTGCCTTTTTCTCAGCCCAACCCTGACCGTCTCACTGTATTGACTCTTTACTCCTTTCCTTTCGTCTCGATGACCCATAACACTACAACTGCCTCTGGCTCCCAAGCCTTCATCCTCCCAACTTGTAACAGTCCCTCTCACAACTTCGTAAGTTCCCCCATTCCTTCCATGCGCCCCACAATCCCCTCCCACATCCCCTCAACCCCCAACCCTTCCCCATTACAGCCAGCGTTGTACCGCAGTCAAGTAGCCTACCACTGTGACGGATCAGGCTCGTCCAACGGGTGGATCGTGAACAACATCAGCGACCGCACGCCGTGCTGGTACTCACAACTCACACTCGACTCGCCCGCACACCGCCAGGAGTTCGCCCTGCAGCGCACTGTCCTCGCGTCCTCCTCCGCTGCTCTCTTCCGCCGCCCCACGCCCCCGACGCCTTCAGCGCAAACCCCGGCTCTTGGGACCGGTGGGAGCGGAGGGGGAGGTGGGGGAGGAGGAGGCTCCGGGGGAAGTGGCGGAAGGGGGAATGCTGCCGGTTCTGGTGGTGGGAGTGGGAGTGGGAGTGGTGGTGGGGTGGGAGGGCTTTTTGGCCGGTCGGCGTCAGCAGCAGTGAGCCAAGGGACGTTGACTGCGACAATTGTCACGCGAGGGGGCAGCAGTGGGAGCAGCGGCGGTGCCGGGGGCTTGGGAGGAGGAGGAGGAGGAGGAGGAGGAGGAGAAGGAGGAGGAGGAAGTGGGCATGGAGGAGGGGCGAGTGGAGGAGGAGGAGGGAGAGGAGAAGGGGGAGGAGGGGTGTCAGCGAGTGGGTGTATGCCGCTTGTGTCACACAGTCCCAGCCGGTCTCCCTCGCCTGAGATTGGCTGGTTGGAGTCGAGTAATGGAGGTGCTGCTGGTAGGGGGAGCGGCAGCAGCAGCAGCAACGGCAGTGGCAGCGGTAGTGGTGTCCTTAAAGACCTCCCACAGCAGCATCACCAACAACAACAACAGCAGCAGCACCACCAGCAGTATCAGCAGCAAGGTGGTGCGTTGCCAGGCAGAGCAGTCACACCCACAAGACGAGCAGCAGGAGGTGGAACAGCAGGAACAGCTGTGGCGGCGGCAGTAGGAGCAGCAGGAGCAGCGGCAGGAATAGCAGCAGGAGCAATGGGGGCAGGCACAGGTGTCGCAGGGCAAGGGCCCGCAGCAGCAGCATCAGCAGCAGCAGCAGCAACAGCAGCAGCAGCAGCAACAGCAGCAGAGGCAGCACCACAGCACGTGATGGTGGGGGGGTTCGTGCACCCTCCTGTCAAGCCAGGACCCTTTGCAGGACTCTGCATCCTGCCTTAGTGGACCATTGGTCCCACACCCACCCTAAGGACCCACTCCATATGCCATGCTACCTGTAACCCATCCTACCATTCGATTTTGTCTACACTCTACCGCATCCGTTCTGCCTCCCAGACCCACCTCGTGCCTTCTGAGGCGCCTCAAAAGTTCATCTCTTCTTCACCTGCGTTTTTCACCCCACCTCCTAGACCAATTTCCTGCCTGGCTTACGCTATGAGGATTCAGGATAAATGCACTGCCGTGGCGGAAAGTCAGAGGTACCGCATTCGCCTGCCTCTGCCAGTTTGATTAGGTAGGAAGTCAGACGTTTTAGACGGATGCTGCTGACCGGATGCTGCTAACTGGATACTACACGGATGTTGGAGCAATACATTACTGACTTTGACGTGTTCAAATGTTTATTGATAGCCTCCCACCCGCACGCACACCCAACCCCGTTCACCCTCCCTCACTGACATATGTAAGTTGAAAGCTCCCCACCTCCTTTGCCCTCATTCTTTCCCAAAGAATCAGAACGAAATATTGTACCCTCCTTGTGGCAACAAAAATACATTATAGGTTTTATGTGTGAAACATGTCATGGAAATACATACCATAAGCAGGAGCTTTGCAAAGCAACATGGCATCATCCACATTTATCACAAACATGTACCGTATAAGCATCGCATATGAGACCTACATAATCTGCCACAATCTCAGGCACCACTGTTTAGCATAGCACCTACCAAGGAGCTTTCTCCTACCCCACTCACTCACATCACAACCCTTCTCCCTTCACATTCCCCAACATACAGTAGCAATACACCACTCGGCTAACACCCTTCCATTCCCATCCCCCATCCCATTATCCCCGATTCCTCATTCCCGCCCTCATCCCTCGGGCATGGCATGGCACCGCAGACGCCCCACATCGTAGAACACAGCTGTGCGCATCTCATTTTAAGTCGACTGAAAACACATCCCCCATCCCCCATCCCCTCATTCCCCTCGTTCCCTCTCCCTCATCCCTCATGCACGGCACGGCACAGCAGTGGGACCCACATCATAGAACACAGTCGCGCGCATCGGCACCCCCTCCCCTCCCTCCAGCAGCGGAGGCCGCGTGAAGCACCTCAGCTCAGACACCAACGACGAGAACGACGACTCAGCCGGGCCAAAGAACACCGCTGCCTCCCTCGCCACTGCTTGTTCCACCGCAGCCTGCATCTCATGCTCCGGATGCAGAGTAGATAAGAACCTCTGCGCGTCGGTGCTTGCTGCTGAGCGGTCGGACCGCAAGAGGGCGTCGCGCGTGGTGATGTGGAAGGACGCGGAGGTGAGACGGTTGAGGATGGCTGTGCGTTGAGGTGTGTCGCCGATGGTGACGTACAGGAGGGTGTGGGCAGGGTTGAGCACTGCGAGCAGGACAGAGAGGAGACGGTCGGTGCTGCTGCCGCCGGTGGTACCACTGCTGCTGCTGCCGCTGCCGCTGCCGCTGCTGCTGTTGCTGACGATACCGCTACCGCCGCCAGGAGCAACGGCAGCGGCGGCGGTGAAAGCAGAGGCTTCTGCGAGAGAGTCTGGGTTGATGTGCACGACGGCAAAAGAGAAGCCAACTAGCTCGCCGAATTGCGCCTCGTGGGTCTTGCGCAGCAGGTGCAGGAGGTGTGCGGAGAGCGATGCGATGGGCTGCGCGGGTCGCATGGCGGCCAAGCCGTTGCGGCGCAGGTGCTGCTGGTCGCGCGAGGTGAAGGGGATGGGCGTGTCCGCGTCCAGGAGAATGAGCTTGACCTGATGGGGTTGGGGAGGAGGGATGGGAAAGCACAGGAAGGGATGGGACAGTCGGAGAGGAGGGATGGAAGGTGTAGAATTGGTTTGTGGTGGGACAGAGCGAGGTGAATGGGATGGGCGTGTCCGCGTCCAGAAGAATGAGCTTGACCTGCTGGGGTTGCAGGGAGGAGACAGGAACAGGAAGGGGGACCAGAAGGGGAGGGGATTAGGGCAAGGAGTGGGGTTGAAAAAAGGTGATTTGTGGTCCTTCAGCAAGTAGACCATGAGCTTGCGCCCATGCGCCACTATGTACACCCCAAGCACCACCTTTCCTTGGCTGCATCCGACTTGGGGAGTGGATAGTGGCGCAGAAATGGCCCCCCTTCCCTCATCTTCTCATTCTCACTTGCTCGCCCGCTGCCCTCCTCTGCCTACGACCCTCACCACTCCCATCGCCCCCTGCTCTCACCTTCCCAGCTGCAGCGTCGTCTCTCATCTTCTCACTCCAAGCGGTGATAACAGAAGCAGCATCACCACCAGCACCACCGCTTGCACCAGCGCTCAACGCAGCGACCACTTTGGCGGGAATGCGATGGGCTGCGGGCCCCAATGCTTGCACGAGCGCTGGCATGTTGGCAGCCGTGGTGTTTGCAGGGAGAGAGGATAGGATGGAGGCCGGCAAATGGTCAACCGCCCAGGACTCTGGAGGAGGAAGGGGCAGCAAGAGGAGAGGAAAAGTGGGGGAGAGGGGAGACTTTTGAGTTGAGTGAGAATCCATGCCATGCTAGCAATGGTGGCGTTTGGGTTTGCGGGGAAAAGAGGTGGATGAAGTGGAGGCCAAGTCGTAGGATGTGGTCTGGGGCGTACAGTAATGGAAGCAGGGACCTGAACGGTAATGAAGGTGACTTGAAAGAGAGGAACAGGGAAGAGAGTGACCTGGTTTTTGAGTCGACTCAAAAATCGACTGGGAGGAGAGTGACTCGGTTCATCTACAAGAGCAATGCTGAAATGCTGGAGGGCTTGCACGTGTAAGAGACATGGGAAGAGCGTGGGGAGAAGAGAAGGTTGGGAGAGGGTTGGGAGCTTACTGGAGGAGCAGTACATCTGGTGGCGGGAAGAACAAGGCCCAAGGTGGAGATTAGGGAGTGCCAGCCGCATTGTCATTGCGGTTGTTGTGATTGTTGTCAGTGTTGCAGCACATGTCAAGGACACAGGGAGCACAGAGTGAGTTTTCAGACGACTGAAGGAATGCTGGCACGAGCGAGGAATAGACTCAGAGGAGACGAATCAAAGAGCGACCAGCACGTGCCACTCACATGAGTAACGAGTCTGTCTGTATCGAGGTACGTCTGCAGCTTCGTCTGCTTCATGGCGCCCGAATCGAAGCTGAGGAAAAAGGGCGGCAGCAGCAGCACGGATCCCGTCGCCTTTGCCGCCCACAGGCCACGTAAGAGCGCCTCCTGCTGACGTGTAAAGCCCGGCCGCACGCCCAAGAGCGCGAGATAAGGCCATGAGGACTGCGCAGCTGCAAGGGACAGAAGAGGGAGGCGCGGGAAGGGAAACAGAGGAGGGACAATGGTCTTGGGCGATATCGATGAGAGGGAAGATGAGGGAGGGAGGGAGGGAGGGAGGGAGGGAGGGAGTGCGTGTGTGAAGCGGAGGTAGGGGAATATAGGCGGAGGCAGGGAACAAAGATGAGGTGCAATCTCATGGACGGGCACTCCTCCAAAAAGGACATATATCGCCAATCACACATCCACGTGCATGGCACGAACATGCCACGAAAATACCACTCATGCAAGGGCGAAACGCAGCAGCCATGGCATCGTCAACCACATCATGCATTCACACTACTTATTACTCACTAGGCGCCGCGGAAAAGAGACTCACCCATGTCAGCGAGCTTGCCGGGCTCGATGCACGGGCGGAACTCGGCAGCCATGGCGTCGTCAGGCACCTCATCATCTCCTTGCGCCTCTCCCCCGCTCCCCTCCGCTTTCTTCCTCTGCTTCTCCGCTTTCGCCCGCGCTTCCCCCTCCGCCTGTAGCTGCTGAACCCCGCCTGCCACGTGTCCGAAGGCGGACGGTTGTGATGCACCAGCGGCTGTAGCAGAGGTTGTCGCAGAGGTTGTAGCAGGAGTTGTGGCAACGGTTGCAGCAGAGGCTGTGGCAGCAGCTTTAGCAGCGGTTGTAGCAGGGACTGCAGCAGCGGCTGTAGCAGGGACTGAAGCAGTGGCTGTAGCAGAGGCTGGGCTTGAAGCAGTGCTGGCAGCAACGCCAGCGAGTTTGCTTGTAGGTGCTGCCACGGAAGCACTTGCAGGAACATCTGTAGCGCTTGTAGCAGCTGTAGCGCCAGTCGCATTGCCGGAACCAGTACGTGCATCGGAAATCTGCGCGCCACCGCCCGCCTCCAGCTCCCCTTGGAGTTCCGCCTGCCCTGCACTCGCCGCAGCCTTCCCCGCGGGCCCGCCTACTGCCTCCCCTGCCCCCGCTTCAACAGGCGCACTTGGCAGCGCTACCCGCGCGGGATTCCCCTGGCCTTCTTGCGCCAGTGTTCCTTCCGCAACTCCTTGACTCTGCGGCGGAACTTGGCTTTCCGCCATCCGCTGCCCCTCCTCCGCCACTTGCCCTTCCGCTGCGCCAAAATCTTGGTCCTGCGCCGCGGGAAGCTCTTCCCCGCCCGCTTCCGCATTCCCCGCTCCAGCGTTGTATCCTCGTGAACCTTCCGCAATCCCACCCACCTCCGCTCCGTCTTCCGCTCCCCACGTCCCTGCGCCACCCTGGGCGGAATCTGCCCCCCACTGCGCTGCAGGCGACTGCTGCTGCGCCTCCGCCGCGAGCACCTGTTGTGCTTCCGCCTGAGCCTGCTCCGTGAACCCTTGCCCCGCAATCTCCGCGTTCTCCCCTATCTCCCCTTCCGCCATAGATTCTTCCGCGTGCCCCCCTGCCTCCTGTCCGCCCATAGCGGACCATTCGGGCTGGTCGTTCGCCGGCGCAACAACCCGAGGCGCGGATGTTCCCTCCGGCCCTTGAGGCGGGGTCAGCGGCGGATTCTGCGGCGGCACGAACGGCATGTCCAGCGGCGGCTCCTGCGGCAGCTCAGGCGCTTCTTGCTGCTGCTGCTGCCCCTGCGGCCCCGGCTGGGCAACCATAGAGGCGTCACGGTTTTGATTATCGTGTATGGAGGGGTGCTCAAAGTGTCCTTCCTGCCCCTGCTGCTGCTCCACCGGTTGGGTCTGCGGCACTAGCAGGGCGCTATCCTGCGGCTCAAAGTGCACCATAGACTGCTGCTGCTGCTGTTGCTCCGGTTGATACTGCAGCGCGCCGCTTTGAGACGCCTGCTGCTGCTGTTGCTGCTCCTGTTCCTGCTGTTGCTGCTGCTGTAAGTAAGCTTCCGCACCCGACGGCGTGGCAAACTGCGCATCCCCTCCTTCGGGGCCGCCTGCGCTGCCTTCCGCGACATTCGGGAGTACCGGTCCTTGCGCACCGCCCATCTGCTGCTGCGCGGCATTCACCGCGCGCTGGTACAGCGGCCCGAGGTTTCCCATAGCAGGAAGGCATTTGTCACCGCACTGCGGGGTGCGAACAGATACGGCAAGAACGGACAGCGGGAACGATGTGAAGGATTATTATTGGAGGGTTGGGAAAGGTCGCGCTGACGCAGGTGGGTCAAAGCCCTCTCCACGCCTTAGAAACCATGCTCCAACGTACACACCAAACGCATATATTGACAGGTCGTTGAACTATTCGACATAGCAACGGTACGAACTGGGTGCTGGGGGGGAAGAAGGGGGAGGCACCGACGTGCAGCAGCGCGCAGAATAGCGCGGCGGTGCGAGGGTGACCAGCGCTACTCGCAGAATGCGTAAAAAACGCATCGTGAGGCATCCACGATCCTTCAGTTGCGAATAGCAAGGCGTCTTGCGAGTCGAGTCTCTCTCAAAAGGGTCGTCCGACTTACCGGGAGCAGGTCGCTGGCGTCGAGTAGCGCGTAGAGCAGCGCAGCGAGGATAACCAGCCCGAACATCACGCCGCACACGCGCTGCCATTTGAGACACGAGCAGCAGCACCACCACAAGCACCCCTCCTCATCGTCCTCTTCGTCGTCCACCACCTTCCCGACCCTGCTATAGCCGCTGCGTCCGCTGGAAGAGCGGCCGCGTCCCCCGTAGCCCTGCTCCTCGTCGTTGTCGTCGTCTTCGTCGTCGAAATCATCGTAGTCGTCGTCACCGTGCGTCGCACGTTTGGGAACGCGCACCAGACGTTTTCGCTCATCCTCCCACATCCGACGGTCGTTCGCGGACAGCTTTCCACCGCCGCCGCCGCCGCCGCCGCCGACGTGGAGTGGGTTGGATCGAGCTGCTGCTCGGAAAGGTGGTTTGACCTTTCCCCGCGGAATCTGCACGTTCCACTTGTCCTTCATTGCACAAGACTGGCGGGCGACAATTGTTTTGCTGAAAGGGTCTTTGTAGGGTAACAAATGCGGATTCTGACGAGATTCAGCGTCAGGTTCTTGTGTACTCTAGTTTAACGAGGTCAATAAAAAGCTTACTGCCGTGAATCTCAGCCCTACGAGAGGTTCTGCGTCTATGGACAGAGCTCAGACGTTCGAACTGCTCTTGTGATCGAAAGGAAACTGACGCAAGGGATCACCCAGATTCGGCTTCTGGGACCAGCAGCATCAGAACATCGGGGTGAATCGGGAGTTGGGCTGGTGCAGGGGTGTTGAAGCGGGATGGTGCGGCAGTGAGTTGCGCAGCAGTAGTGTAGGAGGACTAGAGTGGCGCGTGGGAAAAAGTTGGGTTGGTTCACACAAAGTGAGAACCGAGTCGCACATGTCTACAGTTGAGCACAATGTCCCACGCGTCACGATTGGTCAAACCGCGACGGGAAGCCTTCGTAGAGCTACAGACCCTATCGTAGCCGTCGATGTACTGATGCTGCGCCGCGCGTTTCGTGGTATGGGGGCTTGAACAGAAAGGAAACATGGTGTGATTGAACTCAAAATTCTGGGTTTGGCACATTTTCAGCACTCTGGCGAAAGAAGGTTGTGCTGTTTCAAGCGATACGAACTATTTTGCTCCTCGGCAATGGAATTTTGGCAGGTACAAGGTGGGAAATTGTGCCTCGGGCACGCAAGGCAAAAAACAATACCTGTGATTGCGGGGAGCATCAAGTCGCGTGACCGGTGGGTGGGGCATCGAAGCCACGAGCGGTTTAGAGATTTTCGAGTCGGCCCGGCAAATGTGCTGCCTCATTGGTCCCAGTAGAAGCTTTCAACGGGGGCCTTGACCCGAACGAGACTAATTTGAACGATATACAAACGAGAGTTTTTGCCACACACGCAGTGCCTCATCAACAAATACTGGCTGTTCGACGTGCAGTTTCAATTGAGACGGATGCGGTGAAAGTTACGTTCTTCCTTTCAAACAGATTTACGTTGAACAGATTTACGTTATTCACTCCTACATCACAATCCATGACGAATTACATCAATGTAAGGGCTTGATATTGAAACCTATAAGTCCACTCCACAGACTATCCAACCCCACACTAAGAAGTGCTCTCGTTATCAGTGTAATTTACCCTTCTACACTGATTATAAGGGTGAAATTTTGGGCTTACACTGATGCCTCTGGGTAATTCATTGGAGGATTACTAGCGTATTACACTGATACGTCAGTGTAACGCTGTAGGCATACTGATGCATTGGGGTAACTTTTCCCTTAGCAAGATTACACTGAAGAGCGTACTGTTAAATTGTAATGTGTTATATGTTGGTAGGCTGTAGTGGGGTAGCCAATATGGGGTACAACCCAAACTAGGGTTTCCTATTTGTACCCTTGCTTCTTTCAATCCAACCATTCTTGCCTAGTTCTATTAACATGGTATTCAGAGCAGGAGGTCCCTAGGACCTACCGACCGTTTTTTTTTTAAGGGCCCACCACCGCTCGCATGCGGTTACCACGCTACCCCGTGCCCTAGCCTCGTAGCGCCCTCGTGCGCCCTCGTTAGCGCCCTCGTGCGCCCTCGTTAGTGCCCTCGCGCGCCCTCGTTAGCGCCCTCGTGCGCCCTCGTTAGCGCCCTCGTGCGCCTCTCGTTAGCGCCTGTCAAATGTTGTAGCCTATAGTGAGGTTTGTCTTAGGGGGTACAAAACTTAGGGTTAGCTATATGTACCCCAACCAACATCAATGCATCATCCATTCCTCATTCTGACATGGTATCAGTTAGGTTAGGATCCTGTGGGATCCCGTTCCTCCGTTCTCCGTTCGTATCTCCCGAGCCTGATCCTACCTCTCGTTCGTACCGGTTCCGTTGTTACCGCGCCTAGTGCCGAGCCTAGCGCCCTTCCCCCCGTCGCCTAGCGCCCTTTCCCCCCCGTCACGTCGCGCCCTTTCCCCCCGTTGCGTCGCGCCCGTTCCCCCCCGTCGAGTCGCGCCCTTTTCCCCCCGTCGCGTCGCGCTCTTTCCCCCCGTCGCGTCGCGCCCTTTCCCACCGTCGCGTCGCGCCCTTTCCCCCCGTCACGTCGCCCTGCCCCGTCCCGTCGCCCTGCCCCGTCGCGTCGCCCTGCCCCGTCGCGTCGCCCTTCCCCGTCCCGTCGCCCTGCCCCGTCGCGTCGCCCTGCCCCGTCGCGTCGCCCTGCCCCGTCGCATCGCGCCCGCCCTTTCCCCCGTCCCGTCGACCCTACGCCCTGGCCCGTCGCTCTAGCCCGCTCTTCCGCTGCGACTAAGCCCCCCCCCCCCCCACCTGAACCCTAATTTGCCTCTTACCTCCTGCTGTTACTCGCCTGCTCGTTCGCGTTAGTTCTCGCTATGGCGACTCCGCGAGTTCTTCGTTTCGACGCTGACGGTAGACCTCTTGACTTTTCCGTCTGGCTTCTTCGCGCTCGCCGTCTGTTAGAGAGTCAAGTCCAGGGGGGCGAGACCCTCTGGTCGCACGCTACTGGTGACCTCCCCGAGCCCCCCGAGCCTGCCGCTTTAGGTCCTGCCCATGCTGCTACGGCTCGCTTTGCCCGTCAGCGCGCTGACAGGACGGCTTGGACGTCGCGTGACGCTGCGGCCTGCATCGCACTCAGCAGCCTCCTCCCTGAGTCCGAGGAGGTCCACTTCACTCAGGTTCGCACCGCTGCTGCGTACCTCACTGCGATTAAGGCCCGCTACTCTACTCCCGCTACTGTCTCTCTTGGCCGTCTTTTCCTCCCGTTCCTGTTTCCTGATCTCGCCTCGTTTGAGCGCTCTGCTGACTTGATCGCTCACCTCCGCTCGCTCGACGCTAGTTACCGCGCTGCTTGCACTGAGGCACAGCTTGCACTGCTTCCTCCCCCCATGGCGATTACTATCTATTTCATCGCCACTAGCCTCCCTGACCGCCTTGCCTCCGTTCGTGACGCGCTCCTGCTGAAGCACCCTAGTGAGCTGACAGTCGAGGTCCTTGAGTCTGCGCTCAAGGACGTAGAGAGCAACCTTCGCTCGGTAGCTGCCGCCTCTGGTGCTGTGCCCCCCCCACTCTTCCACGGGTGCACAGTCCCGCAGTTACCCACCTTCACTGCCTCTCTTGCCACTGCCGCTACTGACGCGACTGCAGCTGCTGTTACGACTTCGTCGCGGTCCCGCGGTAGGAGTGGCAAGAAAGGCGGTTCTGGTGGTGGTAGTGGAGGTGGAGGCGGAGGTAGTGGAGGTGGCGTTGCGCCTGGCGGCGGTGGAGGTTCAGGGCCTGGAGAGGCGCCTCGTGCAGTGACTGGTGACTCCACTGCGCCTGCTAGTGGTGGCGACGCCCGAGTTCGTCAGTCGCCTCCTGTACTTCCTGCCCCGGTTGGTGGAGCAGCGGCGTGGTACCAGGCTCAGCGTCAGCAGCAGCTTCTGCAGCACCAGCAGCCCCTCTCCTCCCAGCAGCCTCAGCAGCAGCAGCGGCAGCAGCTGGCTCCAGGGTCGGGGCTGCGTCAGACCCAGCGTGGTGCTGCTTACACTCCCTGCACCTACCAGGTTCTGACAGGCCCTCGTCGTGGCCACCCTTGTGGCCGGTTTCACCCCCCTGGTCAGTGCTTTGCTCAGCTCACTGACACGGTTCGTTTGGTCTACGGGGTTGGTGCTCCTGCCCCTGACTGGCTGCCTCTTGTTCAGCGCTACGGCTCCGCTCTGTGGGGCATGTCTGCTGAGCAGTTAGTTGATCTGATTGGTACTCCCCATGCTATGTATGCTGTTGTTGACTCTAGTGTTTCTGACTCTGCTTACTCTGGTGTTGTTAGCTTAGGTGCTAGCCTTGCTCAGTTGCCTGTTGCTAGTGTAGGTTCTTGTGTAGACTCTAGTCCAGCGGCTACCTCAGAGGACGGTTCGCTGTCGTTCACGCTGGACTCTGGAGCCTCTCACTGCTTCTTTCGTGACAGCACGACACTTACGCCTCTTCCTGCGCCTGTTTCTGTGGCGCTGGCTGATCCCACTTCGGGACCAGTCACCGCGCGTCACACTACCACCTTGCCGTGTCCGGCTGCTCCTTCTGGGTCTCTCACTGGGTTTCACGTCCCCTCGTTCTCCCAGAACTTGGTGGGCGTGCGACCCCTCGTGAGTCAGCACGTGGGTGTGTGGTTTGAGCCTTCTGGAGAGACTGCGGTGTGTGTTGACGGGGACTCTTACCAGCCCCTCGCCACTTTTGCTGCTGAGCCGGGCTCCGGTCTCTACACTCTTCACACTGGCCCGCGCGCTCAGCAGCGACTGCAGCAGCAGCAGCAGCAGCCGCAGCAGCAGCAGCAGCAGCAGCCGCAGCAGCAGCAGCGGCAGCAGCCGCAGCCGCAGCCACAGCGGCCGCCGTCGCAGCAGCCACTCCTCCCAGTTCCTGTCCCTCCCCCTAGTCTCCTCCCTGCGTCTCACCAGGTGGTTCCGTCCCCTCAGGTTGTCGCGTCCAGTCCAGTCGCTGCGTCTTGCTCCTGTCGGTCACTTGCCCACCCCACCGTTCTGTGGCACCACCGGATGGGACACCCTTCTCTTCCACGTCTGCGTGCTATGTCTAGTCAGCGTCTGGTCTTAGGTCTCC